GCCTCGCGTGCTTCCCTGCTGAGCCCAGAGAGCTGCTCAGGAAGCCGACAGCAATACATCACTTTTGCATGTGAGACAAAACCTGTTTGCCACCCTGTTTCTAGCCCAATTCCACCCACTTTAAAGACAGGGCAACTGAAGCTCAGAAAGGGGAAGGGACCTGCTCAAGGCCACACAGCAAATCAGTAGCAGAACCAGGACAGAACCCAGGTCTGACTCAGAAGCTCCCATCAAATTCTGCAGTTCTCTAAGTCAACCCCTCCTTCCTCCCCATTAAGGCATAAAATGCCCCTCTGCTTGAGACCCATCAACTATCTCCCCAAGCCAGGTCCTGACCAGCAGTAGCAGCAGGCCACTCTCTGCAGCGGGACCCCTTGGTTCCAAACCCAGAGCTGGGAGGTAGCAAAAATCCCTTTCAGAGAGGGCACCTCTCAATGCTATGGGTTTGGCCATGGGTTTTTGGTTTGTTTTGGGTGAGGAGGTGGGTGGAGAAGACCTGGGCATCTAGCTGCATGTCAGGCACATAACCCCCAAGGTCCTCTTGGTTAAGAGGGTCTGCTTGACACTTTGCTCAAGGTGAAAGCTCTTGCTCTCTTCCCCTCCTTAGCCTGTAAGCTCTGTGCAGGCAGATTCCATATCTGTTTATGATTATATCTCCAGGGCTGGGGACACAGTAGGCACTCAACAAGTATCTACTGATCTGAAAATGCAAAGGGCTTGGCCAGGACCCACATGATTCCCGATAACCTGTTTGGCCAGGTCTCTGCTCTCTTCATCCCTGAGAACCTTGGGAAGGAAGAGGAACATCCCTCCCCATGCCCAAAGCCCTCCTGCTCTCAGGTACTGATCTGGGTGGTGCCAGTACAGCTACAATTTAAGACTCAGTACACTATCTGGCCCAGAACCTTGTCACAGCGCCAAGTACCCAGGAGATACTCAAAACATGTTGGAAAAAACGCATCTCCATCCTAGGCCAGGAGACTTGAAAACAGACCTGACCAAAAGTCACCTCTTAGCTAAAAAGGCCCCCTCCCCTGTCCCGTCTTTGAGCACCCTTCAGTAACCCTCAGTGTACACCCGGCTGGTACACTGGGAAAGGTAGGTCAGGTTGAGTCTGAGTCTCCCTTGATCACTTGCTAAAAGGTTAAAGTCCAAACTTTCAGCACTGCCTCCATCATCTGGTCTTGCTGATGTCTCAAGCTCCCCGCTCCCCACTGTCAATTTTTTTTTTTTTTTTTGGCCACGCTGTGCAGCTTGCGGGATCTTAGTTCCCTGACCAGGGATCGAACCTGGGCCCACGGCAGTGAAAGCACCGAGTCCTAACCACTGGACTGCCAGGGAAGTCCCCCCACTGTTTATTCTTATGTTTCAACCTTGACAAATTCCTTGCAAATGAGCTACGTCCTTTTGCCCGCAGAACTTTGCGTAGTCTAGTTTGCCTCTCCAGAACACCATTCCTGTACCTCTATCTCCCCACCATGTGTGGCTGACACCATATCCTTGGGGAGACAGGACAGCATGTGAGTTTGGGGAAGCCAAACCCAGCCAGCTGGCCTCCACACCCCTACCCCCCACCCCTGGGAGCTAAGCACCAACGGCTGCCTCAGGAGGAGGCACAGTCTAAAGAGACAGCCCAGGGCAGGTGGAGGACAGCTTCCACCTCCACCTAGCATGTTAGGCTTTGAAACTGCCTCACCGCCCTCTCTGCCATCATCCAATCCACAGAGCTTTCCTGGCCCCAGGAAGTGCCAGACAGTGCACGGAGACCCAGAGACAAATAAGCCACAGCCCCGGAGTGGGGGTGGGGGGTTGGGTGTGTGTGTGTGTGTGTGTGTGTGTGTGTGTGTGTGTATTTGTGTGAAACAAGCCAAGAACAATAACATGAAGAATGTTCATTACTCCTAAAGGTGCATCAGGAGCCAGGCCCTGAGCAGGGAGCGTGGCACATGTCACCTCTTTAGTCCTCACAACAGCCCTGTGGGATAGGTATTGTCCCCATTTTGCAGAAGAGAAAGCTGAGGCTCCGGCAAAATTCAGTAGCCTCCCCAGAGTCTAATGGAGGAGTTTGACTCTAGCTCAGAGCATCTTACTTTCTTCAAATAAGCCAGCCCCCAGAGTACCTGGGGCTGGAGCCCTGCTCCCGGAGCAGACCCTCCCAGGTCTTCCTGTGTTGGCCCCGCCTCTCCCAGGCTGGGGAGGAAGGTCTGGGATCCACTTTGGCTCCTGGCCTGTGGGTAGGCGGCACATTACTGGAAAGCAGCTTCAGGGGGAGGGGGTATATTCTGTCATCAGCACGGTGGAAGGGGGCCTGAGGGCCTGTTCCGGAGTGTCCCTCTCCCAAGGCCCTGCCTCCACCCTGTGGAGCTCCCACCCTGTACCCTTGAAGAGTCCCCTCAAAGCGCAGGAAGCTTGCTGACACTGAGTGAGGTGAAAGGGGGACAGTTGGGTTCCTGGTCCCCTCACAAAGGCCCAGCACTGAGGCAAGACCCCAAGATGCCAAGAAATGAAGGCAAAACTTCCAAGGCTCGAACTTGTGGCAGTGGTGATGTCACCAGGATGGAATCGGGGGTGGGGCAGAGGCAGTTAGAATCAGATCCAGCTCCGTGAGAGGTGAAACAGACCTTGGAGACCATCCAAATCCTCCATTACACGATTGGGGAAACTGAGACTCAAAGGAAAGCGGTGACCTGTCAGTGGTCACGACCAGTCCCACCACGAGAACCCGTGAAGCTCCAAGTCCAGTGATCGCTCAAGCCACGTGGCCCCCTTCAGGAGCACCCAGGCCTCCCAGGGCAAGGACAGGAGAAGGTGTGGAATTCAACATCCCCGCCATGGGGCAAAGCCACTGACACAGGTTGGGGCTGGCCTGCCTTTGATGTGAAGAGGCTGGGGGAGGGGAGACGTGTTTCTCACTCTGTCCAGTGTAGGTGGCAGTTGGGCGAGTGGGGGCACTGTGGGAACACACACACACACACATACATACTCACACACACTCTCACTCTCTCTGACACACACACTCGCTTTCTTACACACACGCGAACACAATCACCCATATTCTTGCTCTCTCTGACACACACACGTAAACGGAACAGGCACTGGACTAAACTTCATATTGACGAGGGGCTCCTGGCCCTCTGCAGCCTCTCTGCTCTCCACCATGAGAGCATTTTATTTACAGCTCCTCAGACTGTCCCCATCTGCTGAGACTGGCGCAGTGGAGCAGGCAGGCGAGGCTGTCCCACATCACCCTTGGTTGCCGGGGTGACCAGACACCCCAGTCCCACTTCCCGAATCTTTCCCCTGCCCTGGCGGTCAGAGGAGAGTGCCGGGAAGAGGGGCCTCCTTGGCCCACCAGTGCCGGGTCACCAGGGACCCAGGGGCACACGATGGGCTCTGCCGCCCTAGTTCCAGGCCTGAGGACTGCTCTGGGGCTGCAACTCGGCCAGGTCCCGAGGGGTTCCTGGTTGCACAACAATTCCGTTTCTTTAACTCCCTCTTCAACTGCCCCAGCAACCAGTCTCAACTACAGTAATGAAAGGTAAATACCTCCCAAGGAAAGCCTGGCACTCTATAGTTTACAGCAATGTGCTGACACGTCTAACTTACTTGCACCTCACCAAGCTCTGGGAAGTCACAAGTACCATCCCCTCATTTTAGAGATGAGGAAACTGAGGCACAGAAAGGTGAAGCAACTTGCTCAAAGTCAAGTGGTTGGTAACTGATTCAAATCCAGGTAG